AGATATAGCTCCCTCTTATTATAGATTGATTATAAGTAAATTAGGTATCATACTCCTCATGTTAGTCAGATTGACATCAAATTTTGCACAACGTACAAAATTGAGCATAGAATTACGTACTTGCGTTTTCTAGAAGTACAGACATAGCCCAACGGATGACCTATTTATATTTGTTTGAAGTCGATTTACATACTTTATGGATAGATCTAGGTAGATTCACGTTTAGATAAATATCACATATTTTATTTCATCCATTTTCATGTTAATAGTCCTGTTTAATATAACCATAGTGGTGAAGGGTATCATATAGTCGGCCCCGTCCGACTTTACTACTTTCCTTACTGGTTTTTTTAATTTAATTATAAATTTTAAAAAATTATGTTTGCCAAAACATTTCTTTTGGCATAACCACCATATAAAGTGGAATGCGACTTATTTTCGGAATTTTGAAGTGGCTATAAATGTGGATAAATAACTTCTTTCCAGAATGTTTCCAACATAGTTTCATGATTTTTACACCGCTGCCATACAATGTCCCCTCTTAATTTCCTAGCTAAGGTTTACAACCTCAGTGTCTATGTCATATTCACCATATGAAAAAACGACCATTTGTTAGGAAATTTTGAATACACACGTATGACTCTTCGCGTAAAACGTGGGGAAATTTCTATTCGTCACAGTGAAATCGAACTAAAATAAAAATGCTAAAAAAAAGTGCTAGGTACTTTTTTTGGTGCTAAACGAGATTAAAATGTGCTAAATCTAGCACTAAAAGTGCTAAATTGGCAACACTGATTATTATAATTGCTTGTGTGACCCGATGCCCACATACTAAATTTTCATCGCAGTAATAATTTTTAGTGTAGACGTTGGCACTAGAAGTTCTCACTTCCACCCAATGCAAATTAGTTTTTTATATGACCACTAGGAGACCTTTTGACCGTTACTTTTAAACTGAATACGTTGAAACCTCAGATTTTAATATAATTTTAAAGAAACTTTTAATGTTTGTGCCCAAAAACGAGTATCGACGACTTTCTGTGACGCCAGAATAGTTTTGGAATAGTATCCATTTTTTTTGATTTACCCATATAACCCTACCGGCTATTATTCGGTATTTTGGGAATTTTAACCGCATTGGCTGTAACTTGAATCTCATTGGGTGTCTTCCTAAATGTATCATATCACAACCCGCCAAATTAAAAGGTACCGGACCTAATTGCAGGTATTTCAAATCTCCACCTCATTGTGAAGGGCATTGAAACCCCGGCCGAACTTAACGAGTTTTTTAATTGTATAATTGTAAATAGGAAGCTTTATATTACCATATTAAAATTCCATTAAAAAATATCTTGAACATTGTGGTGTACCATTAGAAAGTTGCACTGACACGTGGGCTAATACATAAAAAAAATCTCAAAATACAGAAATTGGGGATACCCAATATGCAACAAAAGATACATATATTCCAAATTCACACAATCAATATTAATTCGTTAAGAGGCTAGTGTGAATACTTCTGATCCTGAATCCTGAATATCCCAATTTACAAATTTTCTAATACAATTTGATCCCTCTATATCCCCTAACGACTTTATTTCCAACATTCCTTAATTTCTCAAAATCTTCTTGGTAAATTTGTCCATAGCACATTCAAATTTCCATAAAATGTAATAATCACTTGTAAACAATAAATTTTACCTCAGGTACATTTAATGAACCCTAAAAACTGCATTTTGTAAGTGGGTGTGATTTGTAAAAGTGAAAATGGGTTACATTTTGTACAACAAGAAAACCAGAAAGACTGAATGAATGATAGAAAAGTATTGTTATAATTGAGAATGTTTTTCATTTCTTGGAATTAATATCTGAGATTGCACTCAACAACATTCATAGGTGAGACAAAGACCCAAGAAAAAACAAAACTACAAAAACCCCAAGAAAAAAAACCCAAGAGCCACACAAACTGTTGAACAACTCAAATCAAAGGAAGAACACTTCAATTGTTTCGAAGAAAATAAAGGGAAGAAAAAAATCTGCTATATTTTGTATTAACCAAAAAACTGGGTTGCTCTACAATGTATAACCACATATAAGACAAATACACACACCCACTCACTTCCGAACTTCCCGTAAATACAGCTTGACAAATGTGTTTTATGAAATAGATGTGTGGATGGCTATTGTTGCAAGTTGAACCAGTTACGAAGTGTCGTGGAGCATGGAAAAGTGTAACTTGCGATGAAACCAGTGTGATAGATGTTAAACTGCATTTTTTGAGCATTGGCAAAAATGCAGTTTCTAAGTGGATTAATAAAAAATTGTATTAAAGTAAAAAATCAGAAAATTGAAATTGATGAATAGGGAATGTATATAGTTATTTCAAAGAACAATCTATGACAATTATTTGTGGTAGCGCCTAAATTTCAGATAGTACATCCATTGTGTCCATTATAAATAAACTATAAGGTACGCATATCCTGACAGAAAAACGTTTTTACGATGTGATATCAGATGGTCTTGAATGAAATATCTATGTATATATTTTACCATAATTATTCGGAATGTAGCTTGATTTTGCAAGAGAATTTGATCGGACACTCCATAATGTTTTTTTTAGCGTAATATCGGCGTTCTGAATAGTATGACAAACCACGAACCACACTTACTTAACTTTCAGATCGGTTGATCGTGTTTTAATTTGTCAGCAAAGTTTATATTAATAATGCGCAATCATCAAGTGCGAACGGCCAACGGGTTAAAAATATTATTTTCACTTTCCATACCCTCCACCATAAGGTTTTTTAAATTGTCATTCCATTTGCAATGCTTCGAAATATTCATCGTAACCCGAATAATGTGTGTATATTCTTGATGAAAATAATATTTTATATTGATTTAGCTCTGTCTGGTTGTATGTCTGTTGAAATCTCGAATGAGATAGAAGTAGTGAAAAAAGAAATCTGAAATGTTACACAGTTCTTCCTCCACCATAAGGTTTTTCAAATAATCATCCCATTTGCAATGCTTCGAAATATTCATCGTAACCCCCATAATGTGTGTATATTCTTGATGAGAACAAAATTTTATATTGATTTAGCCCTGTCTGGTTGTATGTCTGTTGAAATCACGATAGTGATAGAAATAGTTAAAACAGAGCTCTGAAATGTTACACAGTTCTTCTAGAATGTTTGGTATTGTAAATGGGATTTATCAATCCCGAAATATTCAGTATTTTTGGATAGTGTGTGTACGTTTATGTCCTCATTGTGTAGAACATCTCCCTACCAATACTGTTCAATATTGGCCCAAATTCCATAATTACAATTTATTAGTAAAAAGTGCGAAATTTGATTAAAAATAGAAATTTTGATGTATATATTCAAATTTGAGATATTTTTTACAAATACATAAATAAAAAAATATCCGGTTTAGACAAAAATGTTCAGTGAAATTCGATGTAGAATAATTTTGTTTTTGACGAAATACTCCAAAAGTGAAGTCTTATTGACGAGTCGTCTTTTGTCTGCAGGCAGGTAAAGTTGGAAGATGGGTTATATCGGTCCACGTTTAGGCATAGCTCACATATAAGCTCCCAAAAATTATTAATATTCGGCTACTTTTTAAAACAGTTAGCTAATTTGTTCTGTATGTTGAAGTTGTCCCTATATAGGCGAATTTTACCATTGCATGGGGAATAGTCGTCACGACGAAATAGTCAGTTTTTACCCTACTACGGAGATTTAGCCTTCTGTTATAATTATTCCGCCTTCAAATGGTGTACATAAATCGGTTTGTAGAATTGTCGGTATAAGTCCACTTTTTGGTATGTTCCCTATTATATTCATTCCACTCCACCAATGTGGAATGTATCCAAAGTTCTGGCCAGTTGAACCATCCTTTAAAAACGAGATCTAGTGGGAAAATTGGCACAAACTTGTAATAAGATCTGTTTCAACCCTAAAATAAGTTCTCATATTTTTAAAATTTTTGAAAATCTTCGAGTTTTGGTCTATTCTGAGACTTATTTTAAAATATTATGAGATGATTTTTGTAGAATATTCTGAACATAGATTCAATGTGGGATTTGCTGAACTGCTGTAAAGACCCTTTTCAGAGAGTCGGCTGGGGGTTAACGTATCATACAAAAATATTCCTCACATTTACATCAATAATATTGCCAAAGACACATTTTCCTAAAACGGAGGGATTTTGAAAAATCGTAATCCAAATATTTTCAAACGTCTTGGAAATGGGAAATATTGCCAAGCCTTTCTTGCCCATTAAAAAAAAAATATCAATGGAACTTCTGGAATGGGAAAAGGGTATTTGACTTCATGTCTACCAATATAACCAATATAAACGTGCCTTCCGATTTAAAACATTTTTATCTATTATCCACACTTTACGATATAATTATTTGTTCACTCACGGCATCAATTTTCTGTGTCGCAATAGTACCACGTTGCAAATGATGCAAAATAATTTTTCAAGCTACTGTAAAAAAAACACGACACATTGTCATACGTCAAACCATACTGTATACCCGTTAAAGCTAAAAATCCTCTATTTTGTAATACGAAATTTTTAAAAAAATTTAATTTCTGGAAGAAACACATTATATGTGGTTATTTATTGACACATTAAGAATGCAAACAATTTCATATTAAACTAATTTTCTGAATTTTCCACTTATTTACTACAATACAATCACATACAGTCGTAACGCTATTTTTTTTCGTCTTATAATTATAAAATTGTTTTCATTGTTGTTATTTTTTTTTTTTTAATTTTTCCTTCTCATGTGCACTCTCAACATCTCAGCTAATTGTTGTTGTTCATATCAGTGTATTTACTAACTAATGTGTAATTTTTTGTACAAAATTTTAAAATATTTTCTTAATTACTAATTAACATACAATTGATTTCCTTGTTCTAACTTTTTATTCCAAATTAAAAAAAAAAAACAAATAACGAAAAACAAAAATAATTGCATACAGTTTGCAAAAGCAAGTTAGCGTGATGAGTATGAATCTTTCGGCTAAATTAGATGAGCTTCAAAGAGGCGATCGTCACTTGGAGACAACAGTCGCCTTGTGTGAAATACGAACACAACTACAGGAATTAACGAAATCCGTGGAAAGTTGTCAAAGCGAAGTGTCCGAGGTGAGTGGAGGAAAAAAAGTTATAAAAAATTATTTCTTTCATAATTTTATAATAATTATTATCATTTGCAGGTTAAACGTGACATGGTTGCGATTAAACACGAACTGGACACCGTACAACAAGTCAAAGAAGAAATCGAAGAGCTACGCGAATATGTCGACAGATTAGAAGAGCACACGCACAGAAGGAAGCTAAGACTTTTAGAACAAGTTTGTAGCTTAAATTATTTGCCATGTTGTGTAATTATAATATTTAAGATGCAAAAATGCAAACAATCTCAAATACCAATCATTTTGAAACTCATACCAAAAAAGATAAAATATGTATACAAAAAAAAAAAAAAAGAAAGAAATTTCTAAAATAACAAATTACATATCCCACAACAAATTCAATAATACAAGACAAACATATATACAAAAAAAAATACAAAACTAAGAAATTATGTCAATTGAAATTATTATCTAAATCAAATTCGAACTAAAGACGTCGAAAGACGTCGATATGTTTGGCCGGCCAAACTTTCTAGACCTTCAAACTGTAAGGATTGGTCCAAAAGTAAGGAAAGGACGGTGCCGACACCAAAAGATTCTTAAAACGCTAACTCCTAAGATTCTCAATACGCTATGTAAATCAAACAAACGTAGGTTCTCAAATCAAACGGAAATAGATATGGGCGATATATGTAAATCAGAACGGATTTTAACTCAACTGAACATACGTCGTTCTAGACTCAATACGGTACTCTTTGCAAAATGTCGTCCCAATATGAAAAACTTCACATAAAAAAAAAACTTTACATAAAATCGGACAAAAATATATATGGTAGCTATATCTAAATCTGAACCGAATAACACACGTTATTATAGTCTCAATATTGGGTACCGAATTTCTACACTAAAAATTAGCTTCCATAAAACGGTACCCCCAATTTTCAGTATTTTGGTGGTTTTGACCGAATTCGCTATAGTTTATTACTTTGAGTTCTTACTGGGTAGCAAATCTCTCCATTAAAATTTATAAATATAGCCACATTTTCTCGGGTAGCCCCCACATATATCACCAATTTTCGGTATCTTGAGGATCTTGAGCTCGATTTTCAGCCGAATTTACAGTAATTTGGTATTTTGTAGTCGTATATGGTAGCAAGTCTCCCTCCCGAAAATTATTAATATTCGGGTTTACAGGTTAAGATTAAAATACTTAAAATAGTAGGAAATATTTTGCCGATTGAGCCATCTGTTGTATTCATTCTACCTTTGGAGGATAACGAAATAAAAAACTAGAATGTCAGGTTCGAAAATGAAATATATTAGCCCGCATTTAGGCCTAACCCCCATATACAGCAGATATCGGATATAAGCACATCTCATATAAGAAAAAATCGCATATAAGAAAGATTATCAAAAACACCGAGCTTATACTTGCTTATATCCGATAATTCCATATAAGAAAAAAAACGCATATAAGAAAGAAATCTCCGGCTTTTTTGAGTTTCTTATATCCGATATCCACTGTATAATGATACCTACTGCTTTCCGATATTTTTAGTAATGATGTGTAGGCATAGAACCCCATGCAATGATAATTACAAATTTTCGGACTTAGGCATACAACAATTATTTCTTCAGAAAACATTTTTATATTGATCCCCACACCCGAAACAAAATCCTGTGTACGTTGGTGATGGCCTCATGTAACATTGAACTCTAAATTATTATATTTTGAGGATTTTAAACACATGTTGATCCCTATCATTTGTTGTCAATATCGGTTCAGATTTTGGGGTTTCGAAATTCTAGAAAAATGCTCCATTTAAAATTGCTGAAAGTTGTATTTGGTGTACCAAATATAGTAGGTACAGTTTTCCTTTTGCTCCCTTTATTTTCATTTCAAGTAACTATCAGTATACCTATGATAGAGGGTATCTAGGTTCGGTTTCATTTTTATTTAATCTGAACTTATAACTTCCCAAGAATGTCTCTTTAAAATTTCCAGTGAAAATTTCAAAAACAAAAACGATATCTCAAAAATTATTAATCCAATCGGTAAAAAAACAACACGTTATTCTGGACCTACATAGGTATTGTATGACTTAGGATCAATCCAGTCGGTGAAGATCTTCCCTATTTTCTAGTATAGTATTGGTCAAATATCGGCGATTTTTCTACGATTGGTTGCGGTACCGTTATATTAGTGATGTACCCAAACTTAGACCGATATAACCCATTGGCAACATTACAATTACATGACTAAATCGGTATTAAATTTTAGTTAGATCAAGACTTTGTGAGGTCAACGACGAATATTTCGAGGTGTGGATGGAATGGAGTTTGAAAAGTTCGTAATCACATAGAAACACACCGGTGCCTTGAACAATTCTAAATCCGTCTTGTTTAGCATAATATATGTAATGGTTGTTCTTTTGGCATAATTTCTTCTACAATTGGCTGCAAACATCGTATATAGTTTTTATTTTTTATTTAGGCTTCAATTATTTTTTATATTATTTTAATGTAATTTTGTTATTTTTTGCTTTTGTTATGTAAATAAACAATATTTAAATATACATATTTTTAGTTTGAATCCTCGTTTTATTTATTTTATTTTTTTCTTGGCATTTCTTATATGCTCTTTAAACATCAAATTCGTCGAATCATTGAGATATATTTGGGAATAAGCTCTCATTACGAGCTACATGATATGAGTCGTTTATTTGGAAAGTGGTATACTTCCAATTTTGGTTCTAATACAAATCCTGGTTTTCTAAAAAAATTTAAATAATATATTATGTTATATTTTCTATCATGTCTAAGAGCACAAATCCAAAAACAAAATTAATACCCCCTAACACTATTTTTGAAACAAGTTAAACCCAAACCATTAAATATCTGAATATACGACAAAATGGACGTATACAAATTTAAAAATAAATGCATCTAGTATGACCTTTCCCAGCAAAATATTAAAAAAGGTCACGCAAATTGATCTTTCCATAGAATTCGTGGCCTTCCTCTTCTGCATGAACCATCATTTGGCTCGCTTTTATATGTTTTTTGAGCTGGGGCATCCTCATCCATCCGCACAACATGACCTAACCACCGTCGTCGCTGCAGCACGATACTATGCCGAGAGGTCCTTTCCGACGGCTTTATAGTCGACGAATGAGTGAAATGTGTCGATGTGTTTTTCGTGGGTCTTTTCCAGAATTTGGCAGATATGGTCTTGTCTCCTTTTTTGTGCACCGGACACTTAATACTGAGGTGGCAAAATGACATATATAATGACCACGTATAAATAAATAAAAAGAAAGTATTGAGTACAAATCAGGGCTATACGACCCCTATATATATGACCCATCAATTCCACATTTCGATTATCCAAAAAGTGCTCAGTTGGTATAAGCTGGTATTGCTATTATTCATTCCTCTTTTTTCTTTTCGAATTTCTTCAATTCCAGGGAAATAAATTGTGAGGTACAACTCAGAATTAAACGCGCTATGTAGCTCAACCGGAATAGTCGCAAAATGTTAAACCAGTACAAATTCGAATTAACCGTTCTATGAAACCCAAGAGAAACAGTCGTCACAAGCCCAGATGCTTAAATAATCGACGAATATAAGCCTTGCAATGCTTCTTTCACGAATAAAATATGTTGGATTTGATTTAATTTCGAAGACCCATACGGGTCATAACGATTTTATAAACGGCTTTTGTATTCAAAGAATTTTCAATCAACACGATCCTTTTTTGAACGGTTTTCAAATTATGCCTGATCCGGCTATAACAAAAACTTTTTTAGGGTCCATGCTGGCATTTTACGACTTAATATCACGTCGAAAATTTTTTACCAAACTGATTTTTCGTGCGTACTGAGTTTGTTGTTACAGGTTTATATAAGAATTGCAAGGACCCAACAGCAAATGTCTATAGTAAAAGGTTTTCAAAAATAATAACTCCATATATCTACGACATGATTTTACTCCAGCTTTTTTGCCATTTATTTATTATTTTCTTTATTTTCTTTTTTTTAGCTTCAATATTATTACAAAAAAACGAACACCAAAATGCAATCATATTCATTTTCAAATCCAAACACGAATCATTAATCTAATTTTAGATAAACATCATTTATTTATTTTTTATTTATTTCTCTTTCGAGATGATCAAATCAAATACAATCACTTATTTTTTATTTTCCCGCCTCTGTACCTTTATTTATTTAATTTTATTTAAAATAATTCCAATTCTATTTCAAAAAAAAAATAATAATACAACGTAATAAAAAGAGTTTTAAAATGAGCCTTCGTTTTTTTAACCCACTCTAATAAATATGAATAATTCTTATGTCGTTTCGCATCTATTTCTCTTTGCAGGGTCTTACCTTTTTCCTAACATACTCAATATTTTCGGCGGTATTGGGTATGTTACAGTTCGGTTATAATACCGGTGTGATAAATGCGCCCGAAAAGAATATTGAAAACTTTATGAAGGATGTGTACAAAGATCGTTTTGGCGAGGATATCAGTGAAGAATTCATACAACAGCTGTACTCGGTGGCGGTGTCAATATTTGCCATTGGTGGTATGCTGGGCGGTTTCAGTGGCGGTTGGATGGCAAATCGCTTCGGAAGGTAATGAAAACAGAAAAAGTGAAATACAAACACTAAATAAAAATGGATTTTGTTGGAAATAAGATTAAAAAATATAAATGGACTGATATAAATCGTAAAAAGATAATGCATAATTGAAGAAATTAATAGAATGAGAATCTTTCAGGACCTTGTTTTTTCGATTTTTATATTTATGTAATCCTTGTTAAATATCACAACAGTGACACTATTAGCGAAGACATATACCCTACAAGTCTTGACAAAATAGCGATATCTGCAAAATTGCCAGATTAAAAGACGGCTCCACTTCCCACACATGCAATGGACCTACCCTCCGCCATGAAGCGAACATTACAAATTACTAAAATCTATAGGAACTTCTGACGCTTCACAGTTGAGAAACATAAGTGAAATCCTCAAAATATAAGGGCAATGCCAAATCGGCAATTAACATTGATAATCAAATTTGAACAAGTAAAAAGTTGTTAAGTTCGGCCGGGCCGAATGTTTATACCAATGTTGATACCCGGAAACATGGAACAATGTTGATAATTTTTGTTAGGGACATTTTCTACACATTGAGAATCCAAAATATTAAGCGGCTCCCAAATTAGTAAAAACTCGAGCTCAAACTCCTCAAAGTATGGAGTCTTCCCTAAACTGTGGACCAATATTGATAGTTTTTAGTAGTAAGATTTACAACCATACCACAGCCCAAACAAATAAATTACAACCAAATTTGCCCAAAACCACCAAAATACCGAATATCGGGAGGTACCTTTATATGGGAGCTATCCCGAAACATGATCTATATAATATTTTTTCGTATGTAGATAGCTGAAGTGAATTTTATTCTAATCAAGAATATATTCATGGGGTCTCCGGTGAATATTTCGAGGTATTGGAAACGGAATGGCAAATTTAAAGTGGCCAAAAATTTAATATTAGCCCAAATTTCCAAGTTTTGATAGTACGATTTTCTATCCAATTATAATAAATTGTACAAAACTGCAGCCAATTTGGTTGAAGAACGTGGCCAAACTCTCCAAAATACCGAAATTTGGGAAAAACTATTATATAGGGGCTACCACGATATGGGGACCAATATCGATTCTTTTCCGTAGAGAGATTTTCTACCCAATTGTAGCGCAAAATACAAAATTATAGCTAAATCGGTAAAAAAAACACATGCCTAAAATTCAAAAATGATTTCCGATCACTGGAACACCCAATTCTGGGTCTAATGTGACCAATATCGATCCTTTTCTGTAGAGAGATTTTCTACTCAATTGTAGCGCAAAATACCAAATTACAGCTAAATCGGTAAAAAAACACATGCCTACAATACAAAAATGATTTCCGATCACTGGAACACCCAATTCTGGGTCTAATGTAAATTAGGATTATTGGTTTTTCTCGAAAATAAGCAAAATTTCGGACATAGAATTTGTTGAAAAATCGAGAATGAAGCTGGAAAATATGAAAGATCTACGATTAGATCATTATATCATATCAGTCCAGAAATACGTGTTAAAATTTGGAGATTTTCAACGTTTCATTTTCTTCCCCACACGCTCTGCACCTGCTGCTGCCCTCACATGCAATCTTGAGTAGATGTGCCTTCAGGCCGAGGTGTCCCGTAAAAATACCCGCCAGTTTGCTAATTTCTTTTTTGTTTAGAGTTGGGATTTGCTTAGTTTTGTCATCATTTGTATCGCACCATAGAATTTTTGTGATCCTTCCTGTCCCCTCATTATCCCAAATAGTTTTGTGGTTCTCATTCTCCATGCCCTCATTTATTGGCGTGTTACGCTGAAGGGTTTGGTAGTGCTCACATCACAGTGGCACTTCATGCTCGTTGCCTGTTACTCCTGTGTGACTCGGTACCCATATAATTCGTAATGTAATGTGGCGCATTGCGCCACATTTTTCGTCCATTGCTGTGCACCAGACAACAGACACCCCATTTAAAGCCTACGGCTCTTCTACAGAAAGACCAATATCAAAGGGCGTTGTCAGTCCTTTGCTGTATGTAGTCTTTCCAATAAAGTTTCCTGTTTAGGATTACACACAGATATGTAACTTTGTTTTATATGGCTATCAATTTGTTTTGGAAGATGGACTCTTCATGCTGACCTATTTTTTCTTTCTGGTGAAAAGACATATATCCGTTTTGTTTACATTTAAGCCCCTCGGTTTAGCCTGTTTCAGCTCGGTCAACTTGGAAGGTATCTAACGAATGGATAAGCGTATTAGTGCCTCTGATCTTTCTCCCCTGTCCGCCCTGATATCGTCTATTGTCGATGTATTCGTTGGGAAGTGAGCATTATTCATTAGAATCCATAAAGTTTCCCCAATTGTTTCTATCCTGTTACCCTCACCATAGTTTCTAATATAGTTTGGGTGCGGGTTTTAGAAAGAAACTTTTTGATTTTTGAAGCGTTTCTCACGCTGTCTACCTGTTCGCAGAACAGCTTTTAGGAGTAGTGTTTGGCAGTTCTAGTCATTTTATTATTTACGTTTATAGTGGAAGTTGTCCCAAAATACTGTGGATTTTTTCCGGCGTGCTCGATTGTAAAGCCTTTGGACCTATATTCCGAATCCCCTCTATCCAGCGTTTTTGAAATGTAGATTTCCTTTGTCGAATAAGACAATTTGCATCGAAAAATTTTCCAATTATTTCCGTTATTATTTGTTGACGTTACTGTCTATGTCATTCGCGTTTAAGCATTCATAATTGAGTTTCTCTAACATCTCCTTGACAAGTCACCCGAACTTAATTTTGTTAGTTCAGCGTCTAATTGGATGGATTGAATTTTGAACATAATATATTTGTGGTCAGAAAATGAGTATTCTTCTGAGACTCTCCACTCCTGGACCTCATCTATTAAGTTCGCTGAACATATTGTTATATCTAATACCTTTTCACTAATTCTGTTAACAAAGGCAACAATGTTACGGGTTATTAGATCGTTAGTATTCAAATAATCTTTTGTTAGTTTTAGTACTACCTCACCCAATATGGTGTGAGTTAGCATCATTACCAATCACTTCATTATCTGTTTTCTGCAGCTCTTGGTGGTTGTATGAAGAGAATAACAAATAAATACCCACCCATTTACTTTCAGATGACCCTTTCTAACTATTATCAAAAATATATCACTACTGACCCATAATATTTCTTAGCTAAATTTCCATTTTTTCTTCCTATACTTTTCATTTCTTATTTTTCATTAAATAATAAAATTCATATAATAATTAATTTCTTTTTCTTTCCAATTTTCCATTTGCAGAAAGGGTGGTTTATTATTAAATAATGTGTTGGGTATAACTGGTGGCTGTTTAATGGGTTTTACCAAAGTTAGTCATTCCTATGAAATGTTATTCCTTGGCCGTTTTATAATTGGTGTTAATTGCGGTAAGTCGCCAACAACCACTTTCCACACAGCAATTATATAATTATTTATTCCACAATTAAAAAATTTTATTGGAACAGGTCTCAATACATCATTAGTGCCAATGTACATTTCCGAAATTGCCCCTCTAAATTTAAGAGGTGGCCTAGGTACTGTTAATCAATTGGCTGTGACTGTAGGTTTACTATTATCCCAGGTATTGGGTATTGAACAAATTTTAGGAACCAATGATGGCTGGCCCATTCTATTGGGTCTGGCCGTGTGTCCTGCAGTTTTACAATTAATCTTACTGCCGGTATGTCCAGAATCTCCTAGATATCTGTTAATTACCAAACAATGGGAAGAAGAAGCTAGAAAAGGTAAGGAATGAAGCCATGTTACACCTAATCTCTACTCTTTATGCTAAATAGTTTTTAAATTCGAAATTTGTTCTTACCATCCACCCCCATGCAGCACTCAGACGTTTACGTGCCTCAAGTACCGTCGATGAAGACATCGAAGAAATGCGTGCCGAAGAGCGTGCCCAACAATCCGAAAGTCATATATCCACAATGGAACTGATATGTTCGCCCACACTCAGAGCCCCTCTGATTATTGGCATTGTTATGCAGCTATCGCAGCAATTCAGTGGTATCAATGCTGTTTTCTATTACTCAACATCACTGTTCGTTAGTTCGGGGCTATCGGAAGAAAGCGCCAAATTTGCGACAATAGGCATTGGTGCTATCATGGTGAGTAATGGACAACGCATTGCCTTCGTTATTATTGAGAAAACCCTGATTCAAAAATCGTGTGTGTGTGTGTGAGAGAGAATGTGCAATCTCTCCGAAGAAATAAACTAAAAATGGCCAAGATATCGAATGAATCGTCAGTTCGATTTGTGGAAATTTCATTGTGTATACATGTCTTCGTTAAAAAGGTCACATTGACGAAAACTGTTGATGACTGGCGAAAGGACGAAGAAATGAAGAATCAATAGTGATGGCGAGCACACGAATCAACAGCAAACCGCGTTATTAAATGAAATAATACAATTCTGAGCGGTTTTTACTAAACCAACAACAAAAGAAAAAATTGAACATTATTTCAAAATAAAACTGGAGCGCAATAAATAAGGGTTTGAAAGAAATGTAAAAAAATATATATCGTACATTTTTTAAGAATACTCTTAAGGGAATAATGAGTCATAGGAATATTATCTTTTATATACAATTATAGGAATAATAGAAGGATCGTTTTATATAAATTTGGTATTATTACTAATAGAGCAATTTTCATAAATTTGAGAAAAATTACAATTTGTAAACACGATACAGGCCACAGTTATGGACCAATCTACACGAATCTTTACGTTTTTTGGTAAAGATCGGTTAATATTTAGGGAATGAAATGACCAAATTCTTAATTTTTGTTGGTTTTTCTGTTCGCTCCAGAAGCCGAAAATTGTTGTATGTACTCGGATGTGGGCGTTACACTTACATATTTACATATGCTTACGTATTCAGATAATATTTAGTAACCCATTACCACACTAGAGGGCGGAAATATAGCGCTAATCGCTTTGAGATGTTCCATTAGGTTCCAGTTATGGTCAAGGTCAACGCCTATAATTTTCGTTTATGATCAGATAATAATTTCGGGATGAAGTGTTTCGAAAACCTTTTTTATTTATTTATTTTTTTTTTTGAGTCGAACTAATGTCGATCTCTACACAACCTCCATACAATTATAAGTCGAACATCACAACACAACCCAACGAAGGGCTGCACTGATGGGCTGCACTGCATATTAGTAATATTCGGAAAATATGTCAGTGAAAGGAAGAAGTAAGGTTGACCTCTAATCGGACAAGAGTGTGCAACTATTACGAAATATTGCCCAGGCTCGGAATTAGCATCAGCAGAAAATTGGAGTTCCGTGGTAGTTGTGTAGGGTATAGGGTATATTCGCTCCCTGGCTAAGTGATAATTTATGGAACTTAGAAGGAAGCATTTTGAAGGAATATATGAGTCATTATCCTGTATTTATAAAGAATTTCTAAATTTCCACGATGGACTGTCGGAATAATTCGGATAACACTGTGAAACACAAAAAAAATATTAACGGGAGATTCCAAAAAATCATCATAGAGGGGCTAAAAATAGAAGACACGAGTATCGGCATTTTGAAATTTATGTCGGCAGATAACCTAAAAAAGCGTGGCAATATTTCCCATTTTTCGTGTGAGGAATATTTTTGTCTAATACGTTATCCCTCAGTCGACTCTCTGAAGGGAGTATGTGTAAAACTTTACTAAACTAGTTTTCAATCACTTCTGGAAAGGGGACCGAGACTCATTTCCATTGAAAACTCATTTAAGATGGTGTTAAAACAGGTCAGAATATTCAACAAAAATGTTCGCTATAAAGTTTTAAAGTAAGTCCAAAACTCGAAAACCAACCTAAACATCAACAATCCTAAAATTAAGAAAACTCATTTAAGGGTTAAAACCGATCTTCTTGTGTGTTCTTGTGTTTGTATCAATTTTCCCACTTGATGTCGTTTGAGAAACAAGGCTTAGAGCACCAAAATATTATCCATCAAATTTTAGTGTATGCCAAAGAATAAAATATTTTACGCCAAATTTCAAAATTTTCAATAAGACTGCATCTCTGAATGTGTCTCTTAAGTCCCCTTTTATATTTAAAACGGGGCTATATCAGGCCAGGCCATTCTACAAAAATGTTCGCTATTAAGTTTTACTTAAGTCTCAGAATATACCAAAACTCGAAAATCAGACAAAACGTCAAAATCTTAAAAATTCGAAAACTCGCTTAAGGGTTAAAACCGATTTAATACCGAGAAGGATGATATTAAGGACTAAAGTATTATCCATTAAATTTTAGTGTAAGACCATGAATACGAGAAATCGGTATATATATATATATATATATACTATATATATACCGAATATATAGACGTCGTTTAGGACAAAACATAAAAAAATATATATTGACATTTTCTTCATAGAAATTTCCCAGTATTTTTTTCAACAAACTGTATGAAAGTAACATGAAATTTCATTTTTCGTGCATAGCTTCAAAGGATGAAATAATCTACATCAAATTGCAATATGAGTACCAATACAAACGATATATTTAAATCCAATAGTTTTTTAGTATTTAGGAGTATTTCGTCAAAGACGAAGTCATTCAACATAGATTTTCACTATTAGTTGCTAAAGAAAAGATTTTTTGTAAAAACCATATTAATTTGTAACCAGTGAGCGGAGTAGTATAGTCGGACGGGGCCGACCATATGATATCCTACACAACTTCCACGAAAAACTACCTTTCTGTGGATTTATATTCTGAGCTTGGGCAATATTTCGCGATATTTGAACCATCTGGACCATCTAGAGGCCGACAATTATAACTAATGTTCAGTACAGCCCTTCTAATTACATGTCCAGATTCAAATCCCTTGTGTTGTGATCTTCTTATTCCCATTGGAGCCTATAGATCGACTCGAAAAAAAACACAAAAAATTAAATTTTCGGTCCACTTCATCACAATATAATTATCTGATCGTCACCGAAAATTATAGGCGTTATCCTTGACCATAACTGGAACTACATGGAAAATTTTAAAGCGATCAGCGTTATATTTCTACTGTGGTAAAGGGTTACTAAATAATATCTGAATACATAAGCACCTGTAAATGTATAAGTGTAACTCCCACATCTGAGTACATACGACCATATAATTGGTATCAATTTAAAGGCCAACCACTGCCCTTGGATATACCAACAACTTTTCGGGTCTATGTCCTTCAGGTGTGAATCTATACGCTATTGAATACAAATTTTGTAATTTTTCACACAAAAGTCAGGGTCCATTTGAACCGCTAAATATTGACCGATTCTTATCAAAACACACATGCTTATTCTTTGGCCCGATCCCCTTCTCTATGTAAAAATTCGCAATGTTTGGGTCATAATTGCGGCCTCCAGAGCGACCAGAAAAAAGATAAAAATTAAGTATTTGGTCCATTTCATACCCCAGATATTAACCGATCTTTACCAAAAACAATAGGGGTCTTCATTGGGCAGAACCCATCCTACATGCAAAATTTCGTGTAGATTGGTCCATAACTGTGGCCTGTATCGTGCTTACAAAATATAATGGACAGACGGACACACATGTCTAGATCGACTCAGCTAGTCGAGATATGACGATCGGTATACTTAAATGTAGGTCTAGGACCAATATTTCGCGGCGTTACAAACTCTTGGGGCTGCACAAAGCTATAATACCCTGACAACATAGTTGTGTAGGGTATAAAAATTGTCTCTAATTTTGGTACATATAAATGTTCTACTTTGGCCCTTGAAGTTTTATTATAGAGTATGTATTTGAAAATAATAATACTTCTGAGAACCTTTCCGTTTTAGGCTATCAAAGACTTGGGTAAATTTAAGTTAATATAGTTTGCAGTATTGTGTTCCAGTTTATATTTATTTTTATTCTTGAAATATGTTCAATTTTTTTTAACAAAAAAATATGGAATTGTATTTATTCTCCGAGTGATGCTCTATATATTTGTTCATATCCATAATAAATTACTAAAAATTTGTTTTCAATATCAATTAGGTGGCAATGACATTAGTATCAATACCTCTGATGGATCGAACCGGTCGTCGTACCCTACATCTATACGGCTTGGGTGGCATGTTTATATTCTCGATATTCATAACAATATCATTTTTAATAAAGGCAAGTACTAAATATTTCAATGGCAAAAAAACAACATTTCAAAACATGCCTTGCAATGCAATGGTTAAAAAAAAAAAACGAAAATGGTTAAGTATGCGAATGTTTTGTGTCATATTCTAGTTAATTATTTTTTATATAAAAATATTATTTTCTATGATTTGTATGGTTACCCTTCGAAAGTAATTGAAAATTATTTCAGCCAAAAAATAATAATAATAATTTATTTCGTATATTAAATGAATGGTTGGTTTAGTACCATTTTTTGCTATATTATTTGTGATTATTTTTTATGCATGATGTTGTGTGTTATGAAATAATAAATAATAAAAAATAATAATAATATTGAAAATATATTTTAGAATCAAAAAATAATAAAAAAAAAAACGTTTGCTTATTCTGAGTCTTTGCAATTCATTTCATGTGAATGAATAGTAACTAATTATATTTTACACAAACATTTATTTTTTTATGAAATATATAAATGAAAATATTTAACATTCAACTAACAACAGTGCTCACGATAAACATACGTTTTTATACCCTTCACCACACTGTGGTACAGGGTATTATGTCTTTGTGCAGTAACAGGCAAAAATAATCGAGATAGACCCATGGTTCCTTTTGAGAATATATAGAATCACTTTCTAAGTCGATTTATGCACTTGTCCGTCTGTCTGTCTGTCTGTCCATGTTAAATTGTAAACAAAGTACAGGTCGCATTTATGATCCGAATTGGATGAAATTTGGCATAGGTCACTTGTTCGGCCCAAGGACGAACCCTATTGAAATTGGGAAAAATCGGTTCAGATTTAGATATAGCTCCCATATATATATTTAACCGATTTAATGTAAACGGTCCCTATATATCTTTCGATTTGCACGAAATTTGGTACAGGCTAATCATTTAGGCCTATAATGATGTCTGCCAAGTTTCGTGAAAATCGGTCCAGATTTAGATATAGCTCCCATATATAGTTTCGTCCGATTTCAGGTAAATGGTGCCCCAAAGTCCCTATATATCTTTTGATTTGCACGAAATTTGGCACAACGTACTGAATTAGGCCTAGAGTGATGTCTGCCAAGTTTCGAGAAAATCGGTCCAGATTTAGATATAGCTCCCATATATAGGTTCGTCCGATTTCATGTAAATGGTGCCCCAAAGTCCCTATATATCTTTTGATTTGCACGAAATTTGGCATAATGTACTGAATTAAGCCTAGAGTGATTTCTGCCAAGTTTAGAGAAAATCGGTCCAGATTTAGATATAGCTCCCATATATAGTTTCGTCCGATTTCATGTAAATGGTGCCCCAAAGTCCCGATAGATCATTCGATTTCCACGAAATTTGGCATAACGTACTGAATTGAGCCTAGAATGATATCTGCCAAGTTTCATGAAAATCGGTCCTGATTTAGATATATCTCCCATATATAGTTTCGTCCGATTTCATGTAAATGGTGCCCCAAAGTCCCTATATATCTTTCGATTTGCACGAAAATTGGTACAGCCTAATCATTTAGGTCTAGAATGATGTATGTAAAGTTTCGTGGAAATCGGTCAAGATTTAGATATAGCTCCCATGTATAGTTTCGTCCGATTTCATGTAAATGGTACCCCAAAGTCCCTATATATCTTTCGATTTGCACGAAATTTGGCATAACGTACTGAATTGAGCCTAGATTGATGTCTGCGTTGTTTCGTGAAAATCTGTCCACATTTAGATATAGCTCCCTTTTATTATAGATTGATTTTAAGTACTTGACGCACAAAGGAACCAATAGGAACAAAACGTTCTGAAATTAGTATAAGTTATCCTGTGACAAGTTTGTTTGAAATCGCTTAATATTTGGCCCGATTTCAAGTAAATTGGGCATCAAATCATGTTAGTCAGTTTGACATCAAATTTTGCATAGAATTATGTAGTTTCGTTTTCTAGAAGTACAGACATAGCCCAACGGATGACCTATTTATATTTGTTTGAAGTCGATTTACATAATTTATGGATAGATCTACGTAGATTCACATTTTGATAAATATCACATATTTTATTTCATTCAAGTTCATGCTAATAGTCCTGTTTAATATACCCATAGTGGTGAAGGGTATCATATAGTCGGCCCCGTCCGACTTTACTACTTTCCTTACTGGTTTTTATATTCGACATTAAAGTCTATATATGAAATTCAATTACACTTGTCCATACGGATTTGTAGTAATACGGAATGCGTTTGAAATTATTACTATTTTGTAAATTAAGTTACAAATTGCATGGAACATTCATATTTCATATTAATCTTGTTATTTCAATATATTCTAATAATTTTATATAACTATAATTTTTTATGCTACCAGATATATGCAATATTTAAAAAAACTCATATGTACATGTATTTAGTTTTTTTATGTTTTTTTCACCGTAACTTAAGAACTACTACTCCGATTTTGACCAAACTTTGTGTATATGCTCTATGGGGCGTGAGAAGTGTTTCTGTCTATTTTTAAGTTCGTCCGACATATGGCAAGCTATATAGTTTCTTGCGTATATCGATCACGAACATACACGTAATTTATATATATATACATATTTGTAGTGATAGAGATTTGGGAAGTATATATATATCTAAATTCGAATCCTACATGGAGACAATTGCGCATTAGATGTTCTAGGTGTCTAACTTATATGTGCCGTTATTGTATCACAAATATATTTTTCATGATGTGAAAAATGTTTCCACTGAGAACGACTCCATCTATTTGACTCACATTTTCCTGCGGTTGTTTTTGATTGCTGTGGGAAGAGTTTTGCCAAAGAAAATTATAAAAAGGTCGGATATTGAAGTAATCGAATGTTGTATTACTTACACTGAGAATTCAAAAACGTATTCCCTTTATCTTTCAAAAATTAAATTTAATTTAAAAAATAATCCCAAAGGTTTCTATAAGTTCGTAAACTCTAAAATTTAATAAATTTCCAAGTAGTATGAGATATGGAAGTAGAGAATCATCTGATAACATATCTTCCCTTGCATTATACTAACAAATAATGAAGTTTTGACAGGCCTAAAATCTTTACGTACATCTAACCTATCAGGGCCAGATGGTGTTCCCACTCTTATTCTTAAATCCTGTGCAAATGAAATGTATTTACCTCTGACTGTGATATTTAATGATTCTCTACGTAAGGGTTATTTCCCAATATTCTAAAGATCTAGTTATATTATCCCTCTACACAAATCTGGAAATAGCAGTTTGGTAGAAAATTACAGATGTATTGCTAAACTAAGCGCTATACCTAAAATTTTTGAGCTTTTGATATGTCGCAGATTAAAACATTTCACAAAATCTATAATATCGACTCTTCAACATAGTTTTATTCAAGGCAGATCTACAACTACAAACCTTTTGGAATTCATTAATGATGTTCACAAGGGTTTTAGTCAAAAATTGCAGACTGATGTTATATACACCGATTTCAGCAAAGCATTTGATACGGTAGTTCATACACTGCTGCATTATAAACTTAGTGTTATGGGATTTCCTAATACATTCTTAAATTGGATATCTACCTACTTAGAAGGTCGTTCGCAGAAAGTGTTACTTAATGACTCATTATCCAGGAATATTACTCTCTTATCGGGGGTTCCACAAGGTAGTCACTTAGGACCTCTTCTTTTTATTCTCTATATCAATGACCTTTTTTCCGTTATCCGCTTTTCAAAAATACAATGTATGCTGATGATGTTAAGCTTTTTCCGGCATATTGAATCTCCAAGCATTCCAATCTTTTACAGTTCGATTTGCATTCTTTGGCTTACTGGTGTAGCGCCAATGGAATGTTTTTAAATCTTAAAAAAAATGTAAGAAGCTATCATTATTTAGAATGCAACAAATCAGCATTGATTATCACATTGGTTCTTATCTAGGAGTAATATTAGACCCTAAACTGTAGTTTAATCTCCATATAGAGTCTTGCATTAATAATGCAAAATCTTTATTAGGATTCATTAAGCGCTGGTCCAAAGAATTTGATTATCCTTACGTTACAAAACGCCAATTTATTACTTTAGTTCGACCAACGCTAGAGTGTTGTAGGAGTCCCTCTTACAAGTTTTATTCTGATAAAATAGAATCTGTCCAAACTCAATTTCTTTTGTTTGCTTTGCGGGGTCTACAATGGGACCCATCTGTAAGCTCCCCCCATATGAAAGTCGCTTAATGTTAATAGATTTGCCTACCCTTGAAAGAAGACGCTTTATGCTAAGGGCGATTTTTATAATAAAATTGATACGTGGCTTAATCGATTCCTCTAATTTATTAAGTTAAATAAATTTCAATATTCCATCATGTAGTACCAGTAAATATTTGCGTAATTTCGAATAGCAATATATGCTTCAGTGGATCATCAATGTATTCGTGATTGTGGCGTTAATATCGGTTGGGTTTTTTACTATACTATTCCATTCGCCTAAGTCATCCTGACAATATCTAATCCCCCTCACATTTAAATTCTAATGTGTGGCTAAAAGGGTGGTGAGGAACTACCTTGCAGTACGTTTTAAAGAATAGAACTTAATATTGTATCTTTTTCAAATCTTCCCTGTTATCCATGATTTTTCTTTGATAATTTTGACCTTTTAAATTTTATTCACAAAATCTAGGCTCATTAATAGAGTCACCCGGGATGTGAAAAAGCTTTTTAATGTCAAAGAGTTAATCGGAGATTCGATTAAAATCGTTGCCAAACTTTCAGAAATAACGAATATTGTATGGTAAGATTGTACGAAAGCTACCCGAAAAAATAGACCAATATTAATAACGTTTGGAACCCAATGAAAATCTAAATTGCAGTCATTTCGGTAGAAAAATAACGAATATTGATTTTTTTAGATTTGCCAGGTAATTATCATGGTATAATAATAGAAGGTAACAGCAAGTGTTGTTGTACAAAAAACGATACAACAACCACATGGAAATTTGTTGTTGTAAGTTCTACTAGTGTC